ATAAATCCCTTATAAATGACAAATAAGGCTCATAATCAAATGAACTATAATCTTTGCAATCTTTTCTAAAATGTAAAATTACTGTAAAGTTTAAACATTGCTGAATAACAGGAGTGTCAAAATACAACAAAACTGGATAAAACAACAATATAATAATTAAACAATGTAATAAAATGTAATGTTTAAACTCTACAGTGATTTTATTTTAGATCAAGTTGCAAAGATTTATTTTTTATTTGAAGTACAGTTTCATTTGTGTATCTTTAATTGAATAGGAATGAATAATGTAATTTTTCCTGTTTAGAATTTAACTGAGCCTTTATTTGTCATTTATAAAGGATTTATAAAGCATGAATAGTCCTCACTTTAGATTAGGTCACAAAACTGCATGAAGTTGAGTTAATAAAGCATTTATTAACATATTAGTTGACTATTAGTATATGCCTGAATCATAAGACATATAAACGTTGATTTTAATAGTTTATTAATCATTTACTAACTCATTCTGAATGATCCTAAAAACCCTCAACTACTCTTAAATACAACTGGTTTGTAGATAATGCAATACTTAATTTAGTAATGAAAAATTAATCATTTACTAAGTATAAAAATACAATTATTAAGCACATTTTAAATGTGGTTATAAGTCAAGAATACAGCATTTGTAGCTGCAGTTATAAACTGCTTACTAACGTTTATTAATGTAGAGGTAATGCTTAACGGATAATGAATTCACTATTTGCTAATGCTTAATAAATGATTTATAGTGTGTAGTTATTATAAAGTGTTACCATTCATTTACCACTTTGTAATGTTGCCATTCCTTTTCACAACACTTAAAAAGACGTTTAGGGACTGAAGACACCGAGTGATAAAGTGTTTCAGGTGTCATTTTGTTTTTATCGTCTGCAACATGGGTCTTTATTGTCGAATTTTACTCTTTAAAATGCGCTACACATTCTCTGTTGGTGACATACCACAAAGTGACAATGTTACAGACAACAACCTCTTACTATATAAGCTGTGTTTACCTTAAATTAGCAGATCTGCTCCGCTATATCGCCATAGTAGAACTATCGTTCCGTCCACCATGAATTCACAAATATCTTATCTGATCTTTCTCTACTTCGAAATGCACATGCAAAGGCAAATGACCTTGTAGTAACCAGCAGTATGAATGCCATATTTGCTAGCACACTAAATACTGTGGCACCCATCATAATAGTCATACTCGCCCTCTCAAAACAGCAACCCGTGCCCTGGAACATAAATTGAAAAAAAAAAAAAACATTTAGATGTCTTTAGAATTGCGTTCAAAGATAGTCAGGAGAGCTCTAAAATCTGCCAGGGCTAAGCACCTCTGCAAACTGTTATAAAATAATCATACAATCCTAGATTTTTCTTTAACAACATTGTTAAATTAACAAATAATCTGTCAACTTTGGAACAACCGCAAATTTGTAGTGATGATTTCATTAATTTTTTCAGTGATAACACAGAAGGCTTTAGATAAAAATAGAAGACGTTAAACTTTCTGCACCGCCTTATACATCAGATCCAGTAAACATTCCACTGAATCAAAATAACCTACAGTGCTTCAAAATCATAGAACAGAAAGAGCTAGAGAAAGTTATAAATAGCTCTAAACCAGCTATGTGTATGTTGGACCCAATTCCAACAAAATTACTGAAGGAATTGCTACCTGCTGTAGGAGAACCTCTTCTTAATGTTATCAACTCTTCTTTATCTTTAGGCCATGTTCCAAACTCTTACAAGCTAGCTGTTATTAAGCCTATTATTAAGAAACTGCAAATGGACCCCAGCAACTTAGCTAACTATAGGCCTATTTCAAATCTTCCATTTATGTCTAAAATACTAGAAAAAGTTTTTTCTGCCCAATTATGCTCCTTTCTGCAGACGAACAATGTTTTTGGTGTTTCAGTCAGGTTTCAGGGCTCATCACAGCACAGAAACCGCATTAGTGAAAATAACCAATGATGTACTCTTAGCTGCTGAGCAAGGGTGCTATTAGTTTTACTGGATCTTAGTATGGCATTTGACACCATCGACCACAGTATCCTCATAAATCGCTTAAAGTCTACAGGTGCCCAGGGACAGGCTCTACAATGGTTTAAGTCATACTTAGCTGACCGTTACCAGTTTGTGAATATTAATGGACAGCCTTCACAAGTCAGCCCAGTAAAGTATGGGGTGCCTCAAGGATCAGTTTTAGGCCCTTTGCTGTCTACAATATACGTGCTACCCCTGGGATCCATCTCAGATGCAGAAAAGCTAGTCCATGCTTTTATGACTTCTAGGCTGAATAACTGTTATGATCTGTTTGCTGGCTACCCAGCATCCTCTATTAACAAACTTCAGCTAGTACAAAATGCAGCAGCCAGAGTTCTGACCAGGTTAAGAAAATATGATCATATCAGCCCAATTTTATCACCCTCACACTGGCTGCCTGTTAATTGAATTTAAAATATTGCTTCTTACCTATAAAGCTCTAAATAATCTAGCTCCTGTTTATCTAACCAACCTTCTGTCTTGCTACAATCCAACTCACTCTTTAAGATCTCAAAACTCAGGGCTTCTGGTAGTACCTAGAATAGCAAAGCCGAGTAAAGGAGGTTGAGCCGTTTCACTTATGGCTCCTAAACTCTGGAATAGCCTTCCTGATAACGTCAGAGGCTCAGACACACTCTCATAGTTCAAAACTAAATTAAAGAGCTATCTTTTTAGTAAAGCATACACAGTGCATCACTTAGCGGTATGATAAATGAATGTGCTCTACACAGGTGTCAGCATCTTGTTTTTATACAATATGAACAGCAGCTACTCTAATTATTCTCTTTATTCTCTATTTCCACCAGGGTATACTCACCCCGAGGCTCTCAGACTATGCAGCGCCACTGATTCGATCCAAGACCAGCGACGAGATGATCCTAAGGTTTCCATAATCCTGGACTAGGCCGTATCCTGAGCAGCTGCTGTGGTGGTCATGGAGGAGTGGAGAGCATGAGACTGATTCCTGTGGCGCTCCAGGGACAGACGAGTCTTTGCTGAGGCCCAGCGTTCTCCTAGACTGCAGCTCTGCACAAGACGTTTGGCCTCGGTCGTGCACAACTGAGCCTGGTTTCTCTCTGGGGTTTTTTAATTCTTAACTTTTGCCAGTTGGTGAAGTTTTTTTCCTCTCCGCTCTTGCCACTGGCTTGCATGGTTCAGGATCTGTAGAGCTGCGCATCGATGGATTGCTCTTCAGAATTTGGACTCTCAGTGGTGATTATCAACCACACTGAACTGAGCTAAACTGAACTGAACTTAAACTCTGAAAACTGGACTGACACTGTTTCAATTTACTATGATCTTCCATGTGAAGCTGCTTTGACAATCTAAATTGTACAAGCGCTATAGAAATAAAGGTGAATTGAATTGAATACACGCGTTCCATACTGGGGTTGTTCAATGTATGTTGATGATTACAGGTTTCCAATAATCTTATATATCTTTGTATTCAACAGAATAATAATTAAAAAAAAAAAAAAAAAAAAAAAAAATTGGTTAACAACAAGAATGGGTATGCAATGACAGAATTTTAATTTTTGGGTGAACTATCCCTTTAAATGTATTTACACATACTGTATACATCTAAAAAGGAAAGGAAAAGAAAATCTCCTCTTACTGCTCTGGGAGGGAGAATCTGTATGCCCAAATCTTAAAGGGTTTACCCTCATATTTTTGAACTTTGGTTTGGAGCGAGACTTAAGTATCGGGGCCATGATTGTTTTTACTCTGTCTGAAGTGCCCTTCAGAGGTTGATGCTTGCCATTTGAATGAATCCATCCATTCGTTTCCCTGTTTCTTGGGGACTCCCCAACAGTGCACAATGTCTCATTTGTCTAACCCATTTATTAATTTCAGGCATTTCATATTCCTGGACTCTCGGCCAATAAGCTGATGCATTTAATAGGCTGTTTAATTAGAAAGAGTGTGAAAATGGGTTGTTGCTTTGCCTCCGAGAACAAGTTTGGGAAACAGCTTCAGCTTATTATAAATTTTTATCTAGTTGTCTGATAAACCTTGGTATTGTTTATTATGACTTTTGTTGCCTAATTATTTGGTTCATTTTTCTTAAAGCTGGACAGGGTCATTTCAGCAATATTTATTGTCAAATACTATCACTGTTTAAGTAAATATCATTTGATGCAAAGCCATTATTTATTTACGATAGGCATATATTTATCTATGCGCTCACACAGTATACACTCGAATCATATCACTGTGTACATGTGAAATTAACTTATAAGAACTGTACATCGTCTTTTTCAGAAGAAAAAAAAAAAAAAAGAATTGCCAGTCAAAATAAAAATGAATCGCCTCTTTCCTGCGGTCTGTGTGGGTCCTAAACCCCAGTATATTGATGGGGACTCTATTCTGCTCAGTGAGTGACCTCTTTCAGATGAGACATTAAACTAAGGTCCTGACTCGCTGTGGTTGATAAAAATCCCATGATGTTCTACGAAAAAAGTAGGGGTTTAATCCCAGTATCCTATTCAAATTTGCCCACTGGCCTCTGTCCATAATGGCTTCCTAACCATCCCCATATAATTGGTTTCATTACTCAGTCTCCTCTCCACCAATTAGCTGGTGTGTGGTCTGGTGCAATATGGCTGCCGACGTGTCTTCCAGGTAAATGCTGCACACTGGTGGTGGATGAGGAGATTCCCCCCAAAATGTGTAAAGCGCTTTGAGTGTTTAGAATAGCACTACATAAATGCAAGTAATTATTATTATTATTATTATTATTATTATTATTATTGTTATAAGTAACTACAGTGATTTCTAAAAGTTAAAAACAGTGTAATTAATTTAATGCTTCTTATGTTCCATAATTCTTCAGGACAGACACACACAATGACACACAGTAAGATAAAAACGGTAACATTTACAGTATAATAACTAGTGTTATTCAAGTCAAGAATATGAACATCCCTGAATCAGTCTAAATTCATAGTTATTTTATTGAGTAAATCAGGTAGAAATAGCTCTTTGAAAGAACAATTGCAGGTGCAATAAATATAAATGCATTTCTCTGATATTTCATAATGTTTCATAAAGTTTTACAGAGTTGTAGGGCTTTGATCTGCGCTATCACAATTGAAATGGAAGATATCAGTAGCTCTAGTTGAAAGTGTGATCAATAAAAGCAGAGTGTGAAATAACACTTTAAAATAATTTATTTCCAAAAACATCTACATTGATTGACAGATTAACATGATAGCTATATAAAATATGTACATGAAGCACCACTTGCCGAAATGGCAGAATTGCCCATCTAAAAAGCACTACAGAATGACGCAAAACAGAAGAACGAAGACAACATAACAGCCTTCAGGAGGAAGAAGCTTTATATTCTGGACTGTGCAGCTCACGGATACATTACTGGTGCTTGTGTGCAGATTGAGGCAGATTAAAGTTGGTCAGCGACACCTCACATTACGAAAGGCGGCAGCTGGACTGTTTGGAAACTCCTCCCTGTGGATTGAAAAAAAAAAAAGACACTATTAGAGGTCAAGTACTTACTCGCTATAGAAGCATAATTTAATGATTAAATAAATAATAATTAATTGAGCCTCAGTGAGAGTAAAAATGCACATCTTTCCTTTAGTGTCCAGAATTTTTTTTCTTTAATTTAATTTGTGACATGATTACCAAATATTTCATACAGCCTAAAACAAATCTGAAAATTTTAAATAGAGATGCTCTAAAATTTCAGCAGCGTGAAAATATTGAGCAGAAAATACATTTACATAAGGACATATACAGTTCGAAAGGGTGTTAAATTAGAGTTTATCTGAATGAGAAATGTATTTTCAATCACACAATGTGGTCAGGTTGGCCCTCACAGATCTGTCTTATTTAATGTTCTAGTTTGATAACTATGCAATAACACTTCTAAAACGCTAGTTGGCAGTAAGCTTGTCATGTTCATCTGTGTCGAGTTTCTTCACTATTGTTTTGTTTTTTCTGAACGCCTTCCTTAATGTTGCTCAAAACTCACTCATTTTGAGGCTGGAATCGGCGGACGTGCAACAACTTTAATCATAAGGTAAATACAAAACAACGGTCTCCATTAAGAGCTCCTTTACGGGACTCCCCACTTGTACACACGCTCCATCAGGGTCGCACGGCCCTCACCTCCACTCACACTCATCAGCACTACCAAACCGACCAATCATAGGGCTTGCACTATGCGGCGTTGCAACATGTAGTTACATTTTTTGAAAGTTCCGCGTTAGCGTCGCCGATGGCCACAGCGAATGTTATGAGACCATGCCATGGCATACATGTGCACTTGGCGCAGAAGTATAAATCAGCCTTTAGACCGCTGCTCCCTCTAGCCACGTTGGCTTGCTGAAAATACTTTATAAATTGCCAGTGATGGCTCATCAATAAAGATTACAATGTTAGTTTATGACCATGAAAATAACTGCCCGCGCGAGCAAAAGAAAGCAGGTGAATAACGAATAAGAGCAAACGCCCACGGTGAGACACAGGCGATCCTTCTTCACTAATGAGGGCTTAATGTTTTAAAAGCTTGCTGCGTCCCCGTTTTCTTGTGAGAACCAACCGTGCATGGAAACGCAACTGGTGCGATTGGTTATCTTTGAAATAGACTGAAAAAAATGCAATGCTCGTGCACCCAGTCGTGCTACTTTCGATAGCTCAAAAATCTTTGATTCTTTGCCGCTTTCGCTTTAACCATTCTTTGAACTGATTATTAATGGACCTAACATTAACCGTGTGCACGCGATCATCCTTTCATTATGGCACATGGATTGATTCTCACCTGCTTTCTATTGCGTATGTTTATTTTTGTTAATAATTAAGTTATCACCCTTTACAACAACATTGCTTTAATAGGAGATTTATGCATAGTTAACTGGTGATCTGGGACCTTAAGCCAGGACAGACTACTGTATATAGTTTGATACATGAAAATATATAGTTTTTAAATTAAAATTGTTTTTTTTTTTTTTACTTTTTGTTAAATAAAATTTTATGCATACATGTATATTTTACTTGTTTTTACACATTATTTGACAAGGAAATCTGGTGTGGCCAGAGGAAAAAAAAAGGTAAATCCTTAGTGTTGAGCCCTGAAAAGTCATGTGAAATAAAACTAATTTCAATACGACACTCTGAAACCACAGCCCATTTTCTCATGCTCATTGAGCAAGCTCATACACAACATACAAAATAGTAAATGAACGATGAGGCATGTGGACATGATACACAATTTAAATCAAGTAATTTTAGCATGCCAAAGTCAAATTTATTCATCTAAAATTTTCCCAACAACAAAATTGTGGCTAGCAAAAATGGCAAGTGGCTGGTCACATTGGAAAACAGTGGCTATGTTTCCATCCAGAAATGTGAATAAACTTTATGCACAAAACTGCATTATCGCATAAAAGATGTGCGAATAAAGCAGCGTTTCATTCAAATGTGTTAAAGCAAACAAAATAGTCACTCCCTTATTATCTGGCACCAAATATCAACAGTAAAAACAGAATTTGCTGTGATAAGAGAAGCCGTGTGAAACTTTTCTTCATTTAATAAATGACTTGCGCCTCAGAAGACAATCCTGACATGCAGTAAATGCGGTGTTTGAAGGTGTGAGAAACGGAGCACAGACGCTCTTGATTCTGGAGGTAATTAATAATATAATAACACTAATACTGAAAGGGTTAAGGCATTTTAGAATGACCAAAAAAACATTTCAGATGTTTTTCAATGTGCTCAGTCTGCTGGTTTGTCCATTTACACACAATTTTATAATCACATGATCTTTTATAACAAAATCACATGACCTTTTTTTAATGAGCATACTAGAATTTGTTTGGTAAACGTGTTTTCATTGTAGTTCATGCGCATCTTTTCTTATCGAATAGAAGTTTATTCTACTCAGTTATGTGCATGTGTTATTTATGCACGCTTTCAAAATTATGCGCATCTTGGCAATCCATCAACTGTTTTTTATGTGGCGCATAAACACAGTAGAGCAGTGGGTAGCACGTTCGCCTCACAGCAAGAAGGTCGCTGGGTAGCAGGTTCGAACTTCGGCTCAGTTGGCGTTTCTGTGTGGAGTTTACTTGTTCTCCTTGCGTTCGCGTGGGTTTCCTCCGGGTGCTCCGGTTTCCCCTACAGTCCAAAGACATGCGGTACAGGCAAATTGGTAAGGCTAAATTGTCCGTAGTATGTGTGTGAATGAGTGTATGTGAATGTTTCCCAGAGATGGGTTGCGGCTGGAAGGGCATCCGCTGCGTAAAAACTTGCTGGATATTTAGCGGTTCATTCCGCAGCGGCGACCCCAGATTAATTCCATGATCCACAGGGTTTGTTGCATGTTTTTCCCCGCATTCCTGTCAGCGCCAATACAGCAAAGTTGTGTGTGCTGCAAGCATTTTTGTCAGGAGAGCAGTACGAGAATTGGAGAATAGCAGGCGTTGTCTTTTATCAGGAGTTCGTTTACATTTAGACACATCGCCTAAATCCTCCAGATTCCTAGCAGGGCTAATGGTTAAAATAGACAGGGCAGAGACATGCTGCACTCTGAGTCTGCATTCAGACCCGAGGATAGAAAGAAAAGTCCTCATTTAGTGTTTATATGAACACGGTTATCTTTATAATAATATAAATTGTGGTTATGTGTATTTAAAATGACAAATGTAACAGGGCATTATATTGTTGTTTCTTTCTTTGCATTTTAACTTTGTAAACTATAAAATCATGGGTCTCTGCATGGTTTGTGTCTCATTTTGTGAACCGACTGACAAAAGTTGCTCGCTCCCCTCCTTCTCCCCTGCTCTGCTGGCCATGCCCACACCTGCCCTTTGCTCGCGGAGCTCCACGCCCACTATGATGCATCTTTTGAAAAAATTCTAAGGTTGACCTGAACCGAAAGTGGGGGGTGTCATGGCCCTTTAAGTGGCTAAGGAAAATGTTCACTTCAGATGGCACTTAAAAGCTTTTGCATCTGAACTATTCCATGCGTGTCAAAACTGATTAATTACTGTACATTAAGTACAGTAATTAATCACTTTTGACACGAATTAGTTCAGATGCAAAAGCTTTTAAGTGCCATCTGAAGTGAACATTTGCCTTGGCCACGGGTTTATGCTTCAAACAATTTACTCGCGCTCAAGTGGTTCCAAACCTTTATGAGTTTCTTTATTTTGCTGAACCTAAAAGAAGGTATTTTGAAGACAACTGGAAGTCTGTAACCATTGACACTCATAGTGGGGAAAAGCTTTCATTAAAATATCTTCTTTTGTGTTCAATGTGTTTGTGACAAACTAAGTTTAACTGGACGATGACAGAATTTTCAGCTTTAGATGAAACATATTGAAATCGCTCTACAACCTTATATATAGGACTGCAGCAGGCTGACACAGAGGATGTTAGTTTAACCAGTGTGGGGGGACATAAATGAAAAAATATATATATATGATTTTGCTACAAAAGTCCAATACAAACTCTGAACACTTTTCAAAACAACCCAATAAAACAAAGAGCATTAGAGGTGATTTTACAAAATTGGAGGAATTTGGGGGAATGATTGAGCTACAATCGAAATGCCAAAATTGCAGAGTTTCTTCTGAAGTGGTCCGCTAAACTTACTCCAAAATGCTGGAGCATTTACTGGCTACCTGTTGAGACGCATTTTCACTTTCATAGACCAGTAAGAGCTGTGATTATTATGTGAGAGTTGGTGGAGGCATGGCGGGAGATACTTTATAACACTGTCTATTCTTGTTCTAATGTGGCAGGACAGACCACTGTACTTGCCTCAGAAAAACATCATTAAAACATCTTATAAACAATGTCACATAACCTCAGCACAGCCATTCAATGTCCACACACTTATTAGTCAGCTCTGGAGAACATGTCGCTGAATAGATGGACTACACTAACCCTTCATTAAATTATTACCTTACCCGTCATTATTTATTTAATATGTTTCAATGTTTTTCATGGAAGTTTATTAAATATTTTATTTTGACAACAAGCTAAAGAAAAAAACTTTAGTATAGGACTAAAATATGACATGCATATTGAAAGTTGCTTAATAAATAAGTGCAAAAAATACATCTTATTTGATCACTATTTGATTAAACGCAAGTTTTATTATCCCACATTAAAAAAAATATTATAGCAGATTACAGTAAACACTATAGCAGGGGTCACCAATCCTGATCCTGGAGGGCCGGTGTCCCTGCAGGGTTTAGTTCCAACTTACCTTAACACACTTGCCTGGATGTTTTAAGTATACCTAGTTAGAGCTTGATTAGCTTGTTCAGGTGTGTTTGATTAGGGTTGGAGGTAAAATCTGCAGGACACCGGCCCTCCAGGAACAAGTTTGGTGACCCCTGCACTATAGGGTTTTTGAGCCATATTATAGTACTTAAATTAATCTGTTGTGGTATTTTACAGTTATGGTCACACAACAACTATAGTTATTTCAACAAATTACACCGGCCACTTTATTAGGTACATCTATTAAACTGCTTGTCAACGCAAATTTCTAATCAGCCAATCACAAAGCAGCAACTCTTTGCATTTATGCATGTAGACTCAGTCAAGACAATCTGCTGCAGATTAAACCGAGCATCAGAATGGGGAAGAAAGGTGAATTAAGTGACTTTGAACATGGCATGGTTGTTGGTGGCATGCCCAGGCAAACAGGCATGCCCATATGGTGCAAATGCTTTGTTGATGCCAGACTAGAATGGCCAGACTCGTTTGAGCTGATAGAAAGGCAACAGTAACCCAAATAACTACTCATTCCAACGGAGGTATGCAGAAGAGCATCTCTGAACGCACAACACATCCAACCTTGAGGCAGATGAGCTACAGCAGCAGAAGACTACACTGGGTGCCACTCCAGTCAGCTAAGAACAGGATACTGAGGCTACAATTCGCACAGGCTCATCAAATTTGGAAAATGGAAGATTTCCAAATTTGGAAAAACGTTGCCTGGACTGATGAGTCTCAATTTCTGCTGCAACATTCGCATGATAGGGTCAGAACACTGCAAATCTGCAGCAACTGCATGATGCAATCATGCCAATATGGACCAAAACCTCTGAAGAATATTTCCAGTACCTTGTTGAATCTATGACACGAAGGATTAACGCAGTTCTAAAGGGAAAAGAGGGTCCAACCCCATACTAGTAAGGTGTACCTAATAAAGTGGCCGGTAAGTGTATATTATATTGCAATACACCAAACTTGAATTTAGTAAAAAAAAAGTAAGTATTGATTATTTTTTTCACCTCACTAAAAACTATAGTATGCCATGACATTCATTAACAAAGAGTTCTAAATTCTAGTATAGTATAATACATTTTGCTATGGTATTGTTCAAAAACACTTGTATTTACCATAAAACACTTAGTATTTGGGTAACACTTTAAAACAATGGTCCATTAGTAAATGTAATCTCATGTATTACTAATTGTTGTTTATTTTAATAAATACATTTACTGCAGTATTGATTCACCTTTGTTAACGTTAAGCTAAATAACACTATTCATGTCAATTAATTTATGTTAACAAGCAAAAAAGTTAAATAATGCATAAGTAAATGTTGAGGAACTCTGATTAATAAATAATTTTCAAAATTACTGTCTCCTCACAGCAAGAAGGTCGCTGGTTCGAGCCCCGGCTGGGTCAGTTGGCGTTTCTGTGTGGAGTTTGCATGTTCTCCCTGCGTTTGCGTGGGTTTCCTCCAGGTGCTCCGGTTTCCCCCACAGTCCAAAGACATGCGGTACAGGTGAATTTGGTAGGCTAAATTGTACAAAGTGTATGAGTGTGAATGATTGTGTACGGATGTGTCCCAGAGATGGGTTGCAGCTGGAAGGGCATCCGCTGCGTAAAACCTATGCTGGATCAGTTGGCGGATGATTCCACTGTGGCGACCCCAGATTAATAAAGCAACTAAGCCGAAAAGGAAATTAATGAATGAATGATGGCGTATAAGAGAATGCTAGTGAATACATTAAATTTATTCGAACCAATAGGCCAAACATATTTTTCTCTTAAATGTTCTTGTTTATTGATAAGTCTCTCTGTAAATAAGCAATGATTTCCATTTCCAGATGCACAGCCAGATGGTACCACCACACATCCACTTTCACTGTGTCAGATACTCATACTTCTTAAAACCTAGCTAAATATTTACTCTTATAAAAATACAAATATTATTATTAATAATGAACTGTTCTATAGTGTCCTGCACCCAAAAGATGGAGACAAACAGAGATGCCACAAGGGCTGTATGTACCTAGATGTGGTCCTGTTAGCATAGTATGCTACTGACTGCTAAGGTTTCTGGCTACCTGTTGTCTCTGCTGCTGTCGCCTGTATTCTTCTTCACTAGCAGCGAGAGCCTGAGCCAAGGCCAGATCCTCCTGCTCCTGAGGGCTGAAACACACACCGCTGTCAGCATATCTTTTATTTAATCATTGCAAACATACCACATATAAATATGACCACAATGATGTTTTGGTCTTCATGTGGACATATTTGTACATTTGAACTATTAACTGAAGTCACTAATTTGTATTAAAAAAATAATCTGAAGCATGTAAAAATTATACATATGACTAAGGAGATAAATTAAAAGACCACTGGAAAATTCCCAGTTTTTTTGGACTTATTAGTAATGGGTTTGACTGAAATGGTAGTATTCACTAAATTCTGTAATATATATATATATATATATATATATATATATATATATATATAATATATAAAATAAATATATAACTTATTTTCTTTTTTCAGAAAAAGAGAATTGGTCAGAGAATCAAACGTTTAAATTTGTTGCGAGTGAGAAATCTGGTTTATTCTGACAAGTGCAATTTCTGCCATGAAACTGCCATGTGAGCAGGCTGATATTTCACCTAATCTGCTCCTGCGTCATTAACTATATGCTGTTGCTGTCACCTCAGCCAATGATCTTGCTCCTTATCAGCTTAAATGCTCTGTGTCATTTTATGTTGTGGTGCTTTTTCGAAGGCCCTCGTCCACCCTAGCTCCACCTGTGTTTAGATCTGCGACAGGGATTACATGTATATTGATGCTTGCAGCAGCAGCAGCAGATTGTTATATTCTCAGACGGCATGTCTGTGTATACACTGTCAGTAATAGGTCTAGGTGCTTGCTCTGTCATAAAGCCTCATTCAGACTACGAGTGACTCACAGCGACAAAACATACGCGAGCGACAGCGACCGTTGGCGACCAGGTGGGCGTGTCCAGCACCACAACAAATTTGAAAATCTTTCAGCTTTATGCAATTGAAGAGAGACTTTCTTGAGCTCCAGCCAAAAGCAAGAGCTAGTAGAGCTTACGCGATCCTCTCTCAGCTCGCTCGGAAGCCGGTGAAATTCTCTCTGTAGACCTACACGGAACTGCATTTGCAGCAGCAGGTCGCCACCCAGAGCAACAGGCAGATACAAAGTCGCTGCTAGTTTGAACGAGACATAACAATCAAACAGCAGGAGCAGATCTACACCGCCAAGACCAAATACATCAACATTGCCTTATACATATTCATTACCATACTAAATCCCAAGTGTTCATGACAGCCCTATTGTTAAAATCTTCTGAAGCTAAAAAAAAAAAAATGCAGAAATAGAGATAATTCTCTCTCAAAGCATGGCATCTTTAATTTGTTTTTGTTGAATTGAAAGTTTTTTTTTCGGTTTTTATGCATAAAATGCTCTGAATGACAAAAGATTAAATAAACATAGCTATATAGATCAACACGTATGCTACACACACACAGTTTTTTTCCTTTTACTAGTTAATTTTCATAAGCTGTCTAATGGTTTAAAGCAAATACCTTAGAGTAGGCTGGCTTGCTCGAGCAGATTCAGCCAGTGATATTTCTAAAGCTCTCTGGAGGGCCTGCTCCTCCGTCTGTGAAAAACACAACAATTCATGGTTTAAAGACTTTTATAAAAACACTGTAAGCTACTAAACCTTAAAATGAGCAACGCACCAGCCCAGCTTGATAGGACACTGATGGGGGAATTACATTCTGTGCTGTGGGAGACACCATGGGTGGAGGTGCAGTATTTGTCCTTGGTGCACTGAAAGGCAAATTAATTTCAATTCAATTAATTCTTAATTTCAGATTCTCAGTTTTATGTCAAAGATTTAAAAAATACCATGTATCACTTAATCTATAATTGACAAAGATTCCAGTAAATTACGCCCGATTCACATGGGGCTTCAGCGTCAACACTTGACAGAGGGCATGTCTAAAGTTGGGGCTGATGCGATCTTCATAGCAGCGTCAGCCAATGAAATTAGTCTAAAACTGGATACTGTCTTAGCTGGTGTATTTGCATGCAGCGCTCTGATTGGCTGACGCCTCTGTTGGTGCTTGAAAAGTTGAGAAGTTCACAACTTCTGCAGTGAGAAGCGGCACAGACGGATCCACAATGCAGTTCGGCATTGGCTGACGTCACTGATTCAAATTGAATGGGAAGCGTTGACGCCCCGTGTGAATAAGGCGTTACAGAACTTGAAGTAAACACTCTATATGCACCACTTTCCTATAAAAAACATTCTTTACTAGAATGCAATAAGATATCACTATAGTATACTTGTGAATGCACCACAAAATTATACCCCCCCTAATGCAGCCTCATGTCATTCCAAACCCCAGAGACTCTTGTAAAGAACACAAATCAAGTTACTTTAGATCAGGGGTCACCAATCCTGGTCCTGGAGGGCCGGTGTCCCTGCAGTGTTTAGCTCCAACTTGCCTCAACACACCTGCCTGGATGTTTCAAGTATACCTAATAAGACCTTGATTAGCTTGTTCAGGTGTGTTTGATTACGGTCGGAGCTAAAATCTGCAGGACACCGGCCCTCCAGGAACAAGTTTGGTGACCACTGCTTTAGATGAAATCTTAAGCCAAAAGCTTTATTCAACAGTTTCTTTTCCTCAGTGTTAGTATATGTGAAAAAATAACAGTGCTTCCCACACATAGACTTTAATTGGTCGGGCCGCCCAGGTATATTAACAGCTGCCCACGTATATTTAGTGACAGATTTTTTTTATTTTTGCTTTTGTTAACATCCTTTTCCACTTTTTTTTTTATCCGTCCAATATTACTAAACGTCCACAATCGATTAAGTAGTGGAAAATCTTTTCTTGTTTACCCATTTCATTCTGTGAGCGCGAGATGGCTCAACACTCCCACAGACTTGTAACTTTTTAGAATTAAATTCATCTGGCCATGGTTTCAAAATCTCCTAAAATGTCAGGATTCAGCTTTTGTTTTTTAAAGCTGTCATCTTTTAATTGCGTTGTGCAGTCCTTTTTACTCAATTCTACTTTTGCTCCGCTTTGCAGCTGATAGCGCAAGCACAGTTGCAAGAGCGAGAGAAACATTTAATAATTAATTCTTTAATCTAAATGAGTCAGAAAAACTTTACTGTATACTCACAGAGGACCACATGACTGGTCTAAACTGGCTGCAACACACGCACGCACACACAATTGGTAATGGTTAATCAACGCATTTCCCATATTTAAATAATTAATACTTTTTTAGAGATATTGTCTGTTTTTATTCCTTTGTATCATTTATTTTTCATTTGCTGTATATTTTATTATTTTGATGATGTCAATATAGGCAATTTACATATTTTGCTTTGTACTTGAAATAGAGAGAAGCAGATTTTACCTACATTTAGTCATTTTACATTTAGTCATTTAGCAGACGCTTTTATCCAAAGCGATGCCTGGTGTATATTACATTGCTCCTGAATAGCTTAAAATTATGAGAAATAGTGGATTTCTTTTTTTAATTTATTTCTTTTTTTACTTTCAACAGTCTTTTTTTGTTAACCTATTGAAAATAAACAGTGTATAACAGTGTAATAATAAATAAAATAATTTTTAAAAATAATGTTTTGTTTATTGCATATAGTTATTAACTATAACTATTTATGTGATGCGGGTAAATGATGTGTTTCAATCAAACTGTATATTTCCAACCTGTGGAAACACTGAGTAATTATTGTAAAAAGCCCTATACAAATAAACTTAAACTGAATGGAGTATAGGGCACATGTTCACACTGCTGACGTATTACCCCAAATGGGCCTGTGGTTTGTTTCAAACAGGGGACGCTGTTGAATAAATTAGTTATTTTTGCTTTATGTGCACAAAAAAAAAAAGTGTTTTCGTAGCTTGATAATATTCCGATTGAACCACTGAAGTCACATAGACTGTGTGAAGTAGGTTTTTTGGTACCTTTCTGGACTTTGAATGACTCAGGACCATTGCCGTCAATGGGGTATGAGAGAGCTCCCGACTTTCATAAAAAATAATTTAAATTTTAAGACTTTCGAAGGCAGAATTGTCTTTTATTTGGTTAACTAAGACTTTAAACACTTCTTTCGCACAATATCTTGCACAATATCTCTGTAAAGCAGTTCCCCAACCCTGTTCCTGAAGACACACCAACAGTACACATTTTCAACCTCTTCCTAATCAAACACACACAGAAGAGACTCCAAAATCTGGTTCAGATAAGGAAGACATCTGAAAGGTGCACTGTTGAGGAAAAGGGTTAGAAAACACTGCTGTAAAGTACATGTTTAGTCTGTTTTAGATTAGTATATGTTCAGTAAGATTACAGCTTTAAAACATTAGCTATGTACAGTTTTTTTGTATTTTTATTCTATCACCTAGAGTTGTATGTTTATAGTTAAGTTTATATATACAGCACAGAAGTCTTGCAATTGAGGTGCTCTTTCATTACATGGAAACGTAGCGGAAATGGCCAAAAACAAAACAAATATAAAATAAAAGAGATAAGCCCTTAAAGAAGTACATTATAATGTAAAACCGTGCAGAACAACAATATATATATATATACACACACGTGACCTTCCACCCCACTCACGCCTTAACTCTTTCTAATTTTGATTGTAATATAATAACACACCTACACACACTTTTGGTAAATCTACTTTGAAAGAATAACTATAGTAAAAAAAAAGCTAGATAAATTAATTTGAAGTGAATTTAAAAATTAATGTTAATCTAAAAATTAGATGTCTGTCATCATATACTCACCCTCAAACCTTTTCAAACCTTTCTTTGCTTTTTTCTGTTGAACACAACAGAGGATTTTTACATAAGTTTTGAAACCACTTGAGGGTGAATAAATGAGAATTTCATATTTTGCTGAACTACCTATCAAAGTACTAAAAAGTGAATTGGTGAAAGTGTTTTATTTGCCAGAAACCCCTTTTAAAAGCATTTCAACAACCTCAAGCTTCTAAGTGGTTGGCGTATATTGAACTGACACTTCTGAGGACACTGTGTTTTCCAAAATGTACTTACCTACTGCTCTGAGGTCTGGCGTTTCCAGTGACTCCATTAGACATGTTCCTAGAGCTCCCTCTAGTGGATGAAGCTGCTGTGTTACTGGAAGAAGAGCCCTGAGCCCTCATTAAAGCTGCATGCCTACAAAACAAAACAAACCCCACCATTAGTAGATCCCTATTCCTCCTGAGAGCATCACTGATCCGCATGAAAACCAGGCTTACCCTGATTTGGAGACCGGCTTGTTGTCAGTCTTACAGTCATGGTCGAGTGGATGCCTGTGTTTGAGACAGTAGTTTAGGTGGCACTGGTCACACGTCACCCGGATCATTTCCTTCTGCTTACAGCCGCCCTTCGAGCATTTATTAGTAAAGATCTGCAGGGAGATAAACAATCATGTGGGTGTTCATTTTGGAGTGATGTCATTATCTTTCTCCTCATCCTATGCGTTTGGTACCTTTCGTTTCCTCTGGGCAGGGTCAGATTTGCAGTCTCTGTCTATGTGCTCGCCGACTTTGATATCTGGCATTTCTCCTCTTCGGATGGGAATGGGGATGTTGCACAATGGACATACAGGAACCTGGACGTCCTGAACAAAAAAAAAAAACAATAATAACTTGTACCAGATACATACAATCTTGAAAGAGATAAAATAAAATTTTCATTTAAAAATAAATATAAATTTTAATTTAAAGCGGATAACATTAATTCAATAAATGTTTTTAAGCCTTCTGGGTCCTTGTTTTCACTTCTGGAATTTACATTCAATCATAAATAGTGAAATTTAAAAGACAACACGTAATTGTGGGTAAATACTTGAAAAAAATATTCAATTGATAACGTTTTTGGGTTTAAATGGTTTAGACATGCTTTTAAAAGCAATACAATTTTATTAAACCATTAAAAATAGCATTCTTATCAGAAAAAATTTAATTAGAAAGACACTACATTTGAGAACAACAATATATTTTTTTAATATTAAACGTTTAATTTAATAACTTTTAAATATTAATGGTGTTGGGGAAAAAAAAAAAAAAAAAACTTATGAAAATGAGAATTCAGTCCAAGAGACTCGAACAAGCACGCTTTTCACCCCTCCCGTCTCCCCCGACGGCCCGCGCTCACACCACAAACGGGCTTCGGCACGCTTACGTCATCGCTGCTGCGCTGTTAAGTGAGAAGCGCTCTCTCACTCAGCAGCACAGTGGAGATTTCTGTAGTTATATCGTTTCAGTCGTTTGATATGGCGTCAAATATTTTGCCAAACAGTCCTTAGAGATGCGGGGACACGCAGTCAGATATTTCGCTGAACAGATCCGCCACTTTTGGCGCTCATAAACAATCATAAAGCCCTCGTGCTGCAGGAATGAGGTCTGCTGAAGCTGCGCAGCTGTCGTGCAGTGAGGGGTTTGCGTCTTTAATAAACTATGGCAGTTTGCGTTCACTGAACAGTAAGAATTATTAATAAATCCATATGAAACAGCCCCTTAAAAGTCACATCTCGCTTTCAGTTTCGGGCTTTGGCACGTTATGCACTCACACACAAGCGTACCGCGCCAAAGCCCAAGTGAACCGGGCTCAGGCACACCTCTTCCAACCGGGCCAGGGCTGGCCAAGTGAACAGTGCTTGAGCCCGATTCAGCGCACTCACACTTCTCAAACTATCTGGGAAACGGGCCTGGGCATGGTACGGATGGCATACTGTGAGTAGGCCCTGAGTTTGACACCTGTGATCTAAGGCAAAGTCGTTTAGACCCTGCTCGTAGCATTTGCATCACTCTGGCACAGCCAGTGCTCAGAAAGCAGGAGGTTTTAATGTCTGTCACACACTAGCTAGAGTTTTGATCCTTTAAAACCAAAGAATATAACTTTTCAGTTATATATTGATTATTGTTAATTTGGAACTAGATTAAAAACATTTCCATTTCCACGTTCCATCGTCTGACAATTGAGTTTAAAGTTTGTTTTCACATCAGATTCAATGGCTATTTCATGGCAAAAAAAACAACAAAAAAAACAAAAAGAAAACAGATTAAATGGCTATTTATAAACCATTTATAAATAACACTTTTATAACTATAGAGACAGCAATAACAAAGATCATTTGAAGTGTTACAGTAAATATTACTATGGCACGGTGCTACTCAGAGTAATACTTATAGTAATATAATAACTTTTAACAGCACACGATGATAAAAAACAAATTATTTTCAGTTGATAACATTTTAAAAGACTATTATGGCATGGATTTTCTAATGGATGTCTGCTCCAGGATGGAGTAACATGTATAAATTCTTATGTCTTTATGACTATTAATAATGTTTAAGGGTCTAGACTATACGGCCACTTTAGTGTCATCCCACTATAGAGTAAAACTGGAATAACATGCTTGTTGTTGCTTTTTACTGTATGCTATATGATTTGTTTCCTAAAGATTTCCCAGCCAGGTCAGAAATCATGGAGACCTCTTTAGTGGACCTGGACTCTTGAAGTATTGGAAACAACTGTTTCCAGAGTTATTTGCCATTTGATGTGTTAAATCTTTTGTATGCAAGCTGCCAGTTTGGATGTCGATTGTACCAGTTTTTAACCAGTTTAAATAAGATGGCTGAGACTAGGGCTGGGCGATTAATCGAAATTGACATTCAGAAATTACAATCGAGTTTTCCAAGTTTATTTTATTTTATTACTTTTCCTACCGCGTGGGGTCACGTGACCCTGCTCGGTTTATTTTTCTGGTTCGATGATGATTGGAAGCTGCGTCAGAGATGCCTCGAGACAGCATATTTTCCATCACAATAAAATCATTATTTAAATTAACATATTTACATAACATAAATATATAAATAAATAAAATAATTATTCATTAAGCATAAACTAGTTAAGATGTTCAATTAATCAAGATTTAGATTTTAGGCCAAATTACCCAGCCCTAGCTGAGAGTACACTCAGCCTTGGGTAAGAAACAGATTGTACTTTGAGTGTGTGAGTGAGTGTGTGTGTGTGTGTGTGTGTGTGTGTGTGTGTGTGTGTGTGTGTGTGTGTGTGTGTGTGTGTGTGTGTATGTATGCGTGTTTGTGTTCGTTCTATTCCTTTGTGGACCACCTGACTGACAATTGTATGTTTGAGATAGAGATATCATTCAGAATTGTATGCACACACACGTGGAAATGTTCTTAGTCTATCTGTGTTTTAACCAATCAAGTTAAAACACCTATGTGTATGATGCAGTTTATGACGTTATGTGCAAGTATAATTGTTGTTATTTTGAGATAGTAGTGAGAGAGTGAGAGAGTGTGAGAGAGTGTGAAAGAGAGTGAGAGAGAGTGAGAGAGAGTGAGAGAGAGTGAGAACCAGATAGATTGTTTATAATATTTCCAGAAGATGACCATGTCACAGTTTAGCTAAATTAATTCAAGCCTCCTCTTGAAGTGACTTGCTATGTACCTTCGCCATTTGCAATGCATTAAAACATTGTTTTCCAGTCGCAGTCGAGCTTCATTCTCAAAATGTATCATTTGTCTAAAGTGACAAATGTACACAAACTAGTGTACTATGACTATGGATACAATCAGCCAGTGCAGTCATCCCTCCATAGTAAAAAGTGACATTTTATGTCTGCCGGTTTGTTTACTTGTGGGAGTTCCATTGGCATTTTCCCGCACGTGAATTCTGACCAATCGAAAAGCAGTTTAGAAAATGGGTTCAATAACATCTGGCCAATGAGTGATGTGGATTTAGTCACGACTGCATTTTGGTTATTTTCAACTGGTTCTGACCGAAGCAATCAGTGTGGTGTGAAAAGGACCCAAAAACGGCAGAAAAATGCTATAATATATCATTTGTTGCCCTTGGTCCGGACCAAACTAACCGAACCAAAGATGTGAAAGCACCCTCATAAATTGTAAAGGAAAAACACTGAATTTGAGAACATTTAACATTCATATGGTAATAAAAATATATACTGATAATAAACCATTCAATTTTATGTCTTAGTATTTCAATCAATAACACATGCTTTTTAATTACACACATCCATTGAACCATTAAACTCCAGAATAATCAGAATGCAATAAATGAAATCCAGAAACAATTAGGGCATCTAACGGCACAAATTGTATCAAGCATACATCTAATCGCTTTTATAATTATGGAGTATTGAAATGATTTCTATCCTAAGAACCTCTGAAAATGTAATTTGGCAAGATTATTACCATTAGAAACAAGTATACTGACCTTCTTATATGATGAAGTGCACTTGTGATTTGCATAAGTTATGTGGTCTTTGCAGAAAATCTCTTCACAGGCATCACATTTCATTGGAAGGAAATCTGTAGAATACACACATTTAAAAAAAAAAAAATTACAAATATTTTAGACATGCACAATCACACTAAAAACAGCCTATCACTGTTAAAATGTATATGGATACTTAATTAATCATAAATAATTTGAACTCTAATTACCAGTATACAACATTGGACCGACCTGGCTGACACACTGTGGTGTCATATGACTACATTTTGTGGATATAAAAAAGAAAATGCCACTCCTATACTAATGTGATTAATGGATTTGCTATGCAGGCCGAGGCACAGTAATGCACATACACACACATTAATAATTCAACAAAACAGACTGTCTAATGGTGGAAATAGCAGGAGTGGCTTGTCAGAGGCACTCTTCATACAAGTACCATCTGAAATTTTCTTCTAAAATTAGCATTTTTCTCAGGCTTCTATATCTTGATTCAATAATTTTATTTTTAAAGGCAAATAATAGGTTATTTTTATTGATTTTAACATGAAATAACTGAACATAAACATAAGCGGCAGAGAAAAATGCTCATTGCTCTAGATGGCACTTAAAGATTTTTGCATCTGAACTCATATCTGACATTTTTGCCTGCTATGCCATCATCAGTGTGTATGTTATTACATGATCTCCAGCAGATTTTGATTACAATTACAACACAAAGTATGTCTGTATAGATTATTTTGAGGGATGTAAACAAAAACAATGGTCCCAACACACTTCCTGTTTTACATTTTTGTTTTCTATAGCCTCCGCGAATCCAAAAAGAGCCACATATTGATAATTAATTTTATGGTAGCGGTTTTAACATCAAGTTATAATTGAATTGCCTCTTACCACTTATGAAGTAGTTTGATAACAAGCAGAAAATGTTAATTGGCAAACAACATGACCACATTGAAACAATCTAAAACTGCTCCTTCAGAAATACTCAACATTAATTTGTGTTCCTTTATTTATGAACTTGGTGTACAGTATGTATGCATGTATGCAAGTATGTATGCATGTATGTATTTGATGGAACAGTTGTGTTGCGTGTAAAAAAAAACAACAACAAAAAACAAGCAATATAGCGTTTTAGAGCAAAATACATGTCTGTACTCTCAGGGTTAATATATTTCCCTTGCAGAAAAAAGTAGTGATAGTGTATATTTCATAAAAATAATAATTATTAAATAAACAAATACATACATTTTTATTAGAATTTGCCATATCAGTTTCACTGGCTATGTTTACTACATTTTATAACCTTTTCTATAATTATAAAAATATTCCAACAATTAAAGGTCATCAACAGCAATAAATAACACAGAAGATAAAATGCATAAATAATAATAATGAAAATATATAAGATAAAAACCTTAAACAGTGTAAGGTTTATTTTTGATACACATTTAAAAATGTTTCATTTAAAGTGTATCCAGATAAAAATGGTTGCATATTAACATTAAAAATAGGGCATTCCTTAAAAATATGTTTAACAGTTTGGTTTCTGTTGCAATATTGTCATTTTGGGTGTTCTCATAGTAAAAAATGAAAATGTACTATTTACTCTGTCAAGAGGTTCCAAAGCGTACATTTTTCATCTTCAAAAGAAGACTTGAAGAAGAAGATTTTTTAAGAAAGATTAAACCTGTAAACATTTATCTTCAATAGTAGAAACGACAAATTTAATGGAAGTGAATGGTTACAGGTTTCCAACATTTTTCAAAATACCTTCTTTTGTGTTCAAAATGTTCAATGTACATCTGATTCTGAACAAAAATTCCGATCGGGCCAGAAAAATAAAAAAATCATTGTTGATCCCTGCTGTAACGTTAAGTGACGGAGTAAGACCTGATAAAAATAGCACATACCGAGTCGTTTGCAGCTCTTCTCCGAGCAGTGCTCCCCGAGATCTGGAAACTCCATGGCACAGTGGTGAAACGCACCCCGCTGCTGGACTGAAAACAGCAATCAGACCGTCACCACTGACCTGCTGTCATTTCAGCCAACCCAGCAGCTAAAACACAACCATTACGAATCCAGCTAACGAGTAAAACTTGCTTTAAAAACAGAAGGCCTGTCAAGAGGTGAGCTGATCCTGTTTACCATTAGTTGACGCCATTACATAACTGTTGTGTTGTGTATCTGGAAGCGGATAATCAACTACTGCTGAATCATACAGGATAATATTTACAGGCACACCTCAATATCCCATTACAATAAGGTCAATAATATATGGACAATATATTAATATAAAAATATATGGATATGATGGACGCTGATTGATGATTACTGAAATGTTCTAGGCTACTATCACAAATGCAAATAGGTTAATAACAGTTAATCTAGTTAAAGGTTAAAATGAGACTGGCTAAATTAACATATGGTTAAACCAAATCACGCCATTTAATATACAAATATGCAGAGTAACAAACAAATAACTGGTTGTCGTTTGGTTTGCGGGAAACCTAACATTAAACCTAATAAGCGTTTTAGATGGCGAAATTTTAAATGAATGCGTCCTACCGAGATAGTGAGCAAATCCACTTTTTCTTGGTCCCACCTTGAATAGTAAACTAAAGCTTTTGGCTTCGAACAAGCTCAGCTTCTGTGTTTTGGCTTTTGTAGTCGTCTGCTGTTTTTTGAGATGTCATCGCTGGGTGTGTGAATCTGGAGACAACACTGGGATTGTATTTTTCAAAATTAAAGTCTTCGAGATTTAGAAATTATATTCAGTAGTTACTTTTTATAAAGGGCCAAAAATATATAATATATATAAAATATATCATTATGAGCTGTGGGCCGAAGGTGAATATACCAAACTAGGCTATATTACATTTAAGTCGCCATGGGTAAATAATTTCCTGATCTATTCTCCAGTATTTAAAATGAATATAAAACATTGCTTTAAATCATATAAGTTAATACAGTATAACTTTTTAAATTATAACTTATTGCATTAAAAACATAAACAATGATATTTATAACACTTGATTTGTTCACCAGTCTGTGCATTGTCAGGTGACACAGAATGTACATTTAACAAAAAAAAAAAAAAAAAGTTAAAAAATAAAAATAAAAATAATAAAAATGTATTAATTTACGCCATTTAACTAAAATATTTAATTTCCGTTAGCCTTTAACAATAAAACAAACAAAGGGTTATGCAGGCCTGTAGCCAGTCTCATGAATGGGATGGTTCTTTTTTTCTGAAAAACGTGGACCTTTGTAAATAAAAAAAAGTTCTTAATGCTTTTTTAACAGTCATGTTTTCTTTCAAGAATAAGGTCCAAGATTTAGAATAAAAGTTACTTGTCAACGTTTTGTCTATTTAAAAACAATACAGTAGCAAAACATGACTTCACTTATGTCAAATGTTTTCTTGCACAGCTGGATTTTGGACTCTGCATTGGTCAAAACCGATTAACTGAAGTCGCACCATTATTTAACTTGGTCTTATAGCCTTTTTCGATGAGTTATTTTCATTATTTGTGATGGCATAGCAGTCAAAATAGGACAAATGACTTTATGAATGGGACAAATTTTGGACCTTTGTCCCCCCACCCCCCTTGGCTACGGGCCTATTATATTAAATTTGAATTGACAATCTGGAAATTATCCCCATCGTCTTTTTCTCTCTTCTCAGAGGGATAGCGGGCCAAATCAAGGTTACCATGCATGGGCCAACTTTGGCTCACAAGCCCTACTTTGGCCATCACTGGCCTATGGGTTTTAGTAGCATATCTAATCTGTGAACATTGGTAGCACGTAAATTGTACTTCATACTAAACTTTCCCCCAAAACATTGTTATTTAGGTAACATGCTGGAACCTTTACAACGAGAGATTCGCACATTAGTTATACAACTTCTTTCTGTAAAGTAAATGCAAGAGGATTATTGAGGGAAATAAAATAATTTACCTTCATGAGTATTAATTATTGCAAAGCCAGTGCACACTGTTATATACAGGTACAGTTATGTGTATTAGAATAATACGTTTTCCAGATGTTCATTTGCTAAAAAAGGGCAATGCAAAAAACTTTGGAACTAACTTTGGTGACACTTACAGTGCACTAAATGTATTTTAGTATAGAATAATTTTCCTACTACATAATTAAGTATTTAATAGTTTATTGCTGGGTCATGATCATCTGATTAAGAAAGAAATAGTTCTTAATCTTATTGTTTCAATAATAATAATAATAATAATAATAATAATAATAATAATAATAATAATAATTGTATAATACAACATATTATATAATTATATAATATTATATATATATATATATATATATATATATATATATATATATATATATATATATATATATATATATATAATTATTATTATTATTGTTATTATTATTATAACGTTCATTGTATACAGTGGAAAGCAAGGTGGAAATTGATAACTTGTAAAAAATAGAAAAAGTTTTTCACTGCCATTTCATAGGACTTTTACAAGTTAAAAGTAGTTTGGCAAATTTGTGCTTCCGGTAATGCTGTTTATTGTTGTTTCTGGCTTCAGGCGGCACCTTTATCATGCCCTGACTAGTCACATTCTTGCTGACGTAATCACGTTACTACGAGAGGTTTCCAGAAAATACCACCAGAGGCCGTGATTCATCACTTTATGCATATTTTTTTCTTTCCATCCTCATTATCAACAACAACAACAATAATAATAGTAATACATATTTAAATAAATAAAATAAAACAAAAAATAAAGGATGAAGAAACTTCAGTAGCAAGGGAGTTACTTTTCTCAAAAAAAAAAAAAAAATCCTGTAATGATGAATATAAATATCTTACTTTTTGACTTTTCATCTCTTAATGTCTTCAAATAAATCCCATATTCTTCTATAAACATCACTAGTCTTGGGGGGATTTTGAAAAATGTACATTTATGAATATAAAATTGTAATAATATCAACAAATAATTCATCATATAAGATATCTTTTTATCCTTAAATATTAACCCAAACCTTATTATTTCCCATGAGAATAGAAGTCTCACAGATATATCATATCCAAGCTAATACTTGTACTTGTATACAACTAATACTAATAAAATGTTTGTACCAAATTACATTGTAAAAAACAAGTGTTCAATTGTTTTAATATCTAGATTACAAAATACCAGTTTATATAAGGTGAAAATACATTTGAAATGCATTATTTGTTGTTTTTTACATACATGTAGCAATTACTTAACATTACTTTAACAAAACAATAATAATAATAATAATAATAATAATAATAATAACAATACAATGAAATGAAAATATAATAAAATGTATATTTATAAATATATGCAATAAACAAATTGTTGTTGTAAGGTGTGATCAAACTTATTACTAACAATATAGATATGTAGCCAGTCTGTACTAGAAAGAAACAGCAGCCTTCCTTTAAATAGGGATCAAATCTCAGTCGATTCACACAAATAATTAGCCTAAATACTACAATGACAGTGCTGAAAATCTGGAACAGTGTGGTTATTGTGTCATCTTGTATGAGCAACTGTGTTTTTTTTTTTCTCTTGTTAGATAAATCCTTATCACATCACCACAGTCATTTCACATTAGAGGACGTCCCAGTATGAGAGCAGTTTAACAGGGGAGGAGGTGGAGAAAAGGGAAACACTGATTCATGGAGATCTGTTTGTTTAATGCTTATTGTTACTAAAACAATAGATAACGTGACCAGACCTGTCAATGAGTAATATTTGTAATACACTGTAAACCGGCCTTGACTAAACTATGTAATTAAGCAGCTTTTTAAATAATACACTGATGTGTACATTAAAACTATGACACTGGCATATTTTTTGTTTATGTCACTGCAAGTAATTTTTATTTAACACAGCTCCTAATTTAATCTAAGACCGCAGAGCCAGAGCCACTTGGGCAGAGTTGAGCTCCAGCAAGGGGGAGCTTGAGCACTTCTTATGCAAGTGATGCCACTGGGGGTTAGGGTTGGGGTAGGTGTACGCATTTAAACAGCTTTTAGAAGGAGGAGCGAGAGCTCAAGCTCCCCCTAATTGGAGCTCAAGTGGGCCTGCAGCTTCATAATATTGGGCAAGCAGCGTCTCCTTCTCCCACTTGCACTCGTGCAGTAAACAGTTTCACCAGCAGATGGCGATGCGCGCTCGAGCTACACTTACGACGACTCTTGTTCTCGCGCCTCTTTATAGTGAAGAACCTGACCCCAGGAAAAAGGCCCATAAACCATGAATTATTGAAAAAAAAAAACGCCAAGAAAAGGTAAACAAATTATAATTATCCATGTTAAAATTAAGATAATACTGTTTGTGTGTACGAAAGGGGCTGACAAGTGAGCAGAGTGGGAATGTTTTGTACTCCATTTTTAAACGTACCGGAAAGTTCCGTCCTCTTAACTAACAATTGCAACAGTTTGCTACATTTGCTACATTCTCTAACATTATTGCCACTATTTGCTACATTTGATTCATCATTTAGGCTTTTAAAGCTATAGATGTAGTAATAAGTGATGGAAAGTTTATTTTAAAAATGAATTTACAGATTACAGGTTACTTAAAAATTGTACATTTAGTGTATTTCCATTATTTTATTGTTGTAACGTTAACGACTTTAAATAATAATTACATTTCATTACTTTTTGATTCATTAATTCAAGTTTCTAACAAATGTTTTCAAATGGTAATAACTTTCCAGTGAGCGTCCTGCCTCTCTGTGGTCGTTAAAAATTCCAAGATGTCCTTCGAAAAAGAGTAGGGATTTAATCCCGGCATCCTGGCCAAATTTGCCCACTGGCCTCTGTCCATCATGGCCTCCTAGCATTATATCATAATTGGCTTCATCACTCACACATCACTTCATCGTCTCTTCTCCACCAATCAGCTGGTGTGTGGTGTGCCATCCATCTAGTGCAATATGGCTGCTGTCATTTAGGTGGATGCTGCACACTGGTGGTGGATGAGGAGATGTCCCCTTATGTGTAAAAAAGTGCTTTGAGTGTCCAGAAAAGCACTATATAGATGTAAGGAATTATTATTATTATTATTATTATTATTATTATTATTATTATTATTACTATTATTATTATTATTATTATTATTCCAGCAGTACATTCAGCTTTACATTATATGAGTGGCATTTCTTCCTGACTTTAAAAAATCCACATATATATATATATTTTATGAATTAATGAATTAATATTTTAACCATTCAACACCTTTCCATCAACCCAATAGCAAGCCCTGATAGTTGAAATAATTACAGCTAAAAAGATTATCTTACTTAATTTGAAATCTCCTAAGGCTCTGTTAGATGGTTGAATGAGCTGCTTTATGTCATTCAAATGAAACAACTACGTCTTGAAACTTCACAAAAAAAAAAAAAAAAAAAAAAAAAAAAAGCTGAAACCATATGGTGACTTATCTTAAGACTCTATCTATGGGAACTTAGTATTTTAACTTTGTAAATTTTCATCTCTAGCCTATAGATTTATAACAATGGCTTTGTAAAAATGTGATTATTGGCATCTTTTGTTTATATGTTTGTGCTACATTTGTTGTGTGTATATATGTATTTGGTAACCTCCTTTTTTCTTCTTTTTATTGGTATTGTACTGTTTTTGTTAAATATCTCATAAATGTTAAATAAAACAAAATATAACAAAAATATTTTAATCATTAAATTTTAAAGCACC